AGCAAGTTGTGCTAGAATTGAAAGGAATTTTGTTACGTTTCTGTAAATTGTCAACTAGGGGCGGGCTCTGATTTTGTGCTTTTTCCTCTTGTTCGTAAATTTTATTGCTTATTTTTTTTTGTTTATATTTTTTGCTTATTAATCGATCTAATTGGTGTCTGCACTTGTGATATCGGCTTAAACAGCTGATTTTTCGTAGATTTAAAGACAAACTTCGTCGTCATGTGGATTCTGGGTTATATAGGCCCTGAGCTCAAACTTGTTTTTTGTCTGTTTGATTTTTTGCTTTTGTTGCGCTTGCCAGTAGCATCACTGCGATAGAAATCTTTGGCTTACTTAAATAGTATGTCAAGTTTGAGGTACCAGTTTGTCATTTTAGTGTGGGATTGAGGTCTATGCGTAAGACGGTAAAGGGAATAATAAGTTCGATTCTAACCTGGACCAGATTTCATAATGTGTTTTTATATGGGACAAATTAAGTTTCTGCTTCTTTTTGTTTGCTTATTTTAATAGGCCTTCTTCGTGCATCAGGCAATTTTTTTTCTGTTTGAAGCAAGTTGTGCTTCAAATAAAATGTCTATTGTTTCCCTCTTGTAATTTGTGACCTCTACTGTAGTTTGCACAGTTGCGAACTCTAAATTTGGGGTTTTGTCTCTTGAATGTATTTTTTAGGTTCGTTGGTTTGAATGGTTGCGGCATTTGTGATATCGGCTTAAACACACTATATTGCGTCGATTTAAGGGGAGTAATATATCATTTTTTGCTAATTTGAATAGTATATCAAGTTTGTGGTACTAATTTGGCATTAGTTTTGTGTGGAAATCAGGTCCATGCTTGGGATCCATCCATGAAGTTATTTTCGGTTGTTTAGGCCGTGTGCTCAAACTTAATTTTTCTGTGTGATTTTTTGTATCGTTGCGCTTGCGGTTTGCTGCTTTTCGACAAGAATCATTTGCTCAATTCAATAGGAAATCAAGTTTGAGGTAACAATTTGGCTCTTATAGTGCGGAAATAAGGTTTATGCTTGTCAACAACGGTAATTATACGTTCGATTCTAGCTTTGAGCAGATTTCTTGTCAACTGATTTTTTCCGCGAGAAGTAAAATTTGTCTGCGTATTTTGTTTGTCTGGTTAATTTTGTCGTCTTACTTTTAAATCATGCACTTTTTGTCTGGTTGAAGCAAATTGTGCTAGAATTGAAAGGCATTTTGTTTCGTTCCTGTAAATTGTCGGCAAGTGGCGACCCCTGGTTTTTTCTCTCAGCTATTTTTTCATTTGCTATTTCTTTGATAGTATAGCATGATTGAGATACCAATTTGGCATATGTAGTGAAGAAAGAAGACCCATGCTTGAGGTCCATTCTGGAAGTACTTTTCAGTTATTTTGGACGTGAGATCGAACTTTTTTTCGTCTGTTCATTTTTTGATTTTGTTGCGCTGGCCATTATTTTCATTGCGATCAGAATCCTTGGTCTAATCAAATGTGATACAAGTTTTGCATTTTTAGTGTTGAATTGAGGTCTATGCGGAAGACGACTAAGAAAACAATGAGTTCAATTCTAGCCTGGAGCACACTTTTTAGAAACCGGTTTTTCATGGGACAAGTTAAGTTTCTGCTTGTTGTTGTTTGTCTGCTTATTTTTGTAGACCTTCGTAAATTAGGTATCTTTTTCAGTTTCAAGGAATTTTTGCTACAAATGAAAGATGTTTCGTTTCTTTCATGTAATTTGTAAAGTTGTGACGTCTGATTTATGTTTCTTTTTTTTTCTCATAGTTTTTTTTTGTTTGAACTTTAATCGATCTAATTGGTTTTTGCAGTTATGATATCTGCTTGAACACCTTAATTTTTGTCGATTAAGGGCGAATTTAGTTGTCATTTGCCTACTTTAATAGTATATCATGTGTGCGGTACCAATTTGACTTGTCTAACGAATACATATGTTGCACGCTTGAAGTCCATTCTTCAGGTGGTTTTTCAGTTATATTGGCCGTGAGCTTAAACTTGTTTCTTTTCTGTTCATTTTTTCATTTTGTTGCTCTTGCCATTTTTATCATTGCGCTAATAATCATTAGCTTAATTAAGTAGTAAATCAATTGAGGTACAATGTGGGATTGAGGCCGATGCGTGAGACGACAAAGGTAATGATAAGTGCGGTTCTAGCCTGGAGCTTTCTTTTAAAAACTGATTTTTTGTGGGACAACATAAGTTTCTAGATTTATTGTTTGTCTGCTTGTTTTTGTAGTCTTAGTAAATCAGGCGTTTTTTTTTCTGGTTGAACATTGAAGCAAATTTAGCTACAATTGAAAGTCATTTTGTTTCGTTCCTGTAATATTTAAAGTTGCGAAGTCTGATTTTTTCTCATTGGTATTTTTTGCTCGAAAGTTAGTCGATCTAATTGGTGTCTGCAATTGTGATATCGATTTGAGGGAAAACGCCACTAATTAGGACATTCAGACAAGATAATATGTAAGTAGGTAGAGAATATGTAAGTAGGTAATACATTGTGGAGGGATTGCGTTTGAATTTTGGGTAATTAATTCAGTCAAAGTTTTTGTGCAAATTGTCTAGAGTCTGTCGTGGAGACAGTATTTTCTTCAAAACTAAAACTCTGATATAGCGAAGCGAGGAGTTGCGACCTTGTTTCTTCAGCTTTTACGTGAAAGAATTTGTTTAACTTATTTGCCAGGGCCATTGCGTTTTCATGCTCTGGCAATACTCTATTCCAGTGGTTCAAAAGATTGTTAAAGGTAGTAAAGTGTAATTTATCTCTGTACTCATGTCTTTAATTTTTCAGAAGATTCGATCAAAACAGGATGCGATTCAAGCTTTAATTCCTTATCTGAAGATGGGTGTTTTTTTTTTATTTCTTTCCAGTTATCGCAGACAACGCTTGGTCTATAAGCATTCTGTAACAAAATATCATGTTTTGTCAGCAAAGCTTTTGTTTTGATTTGTGATATGTTCATTACGAAGACTTTTGTCCAAAATTTAGAGCTTCCAGATTAATTTTGAGGAAATTAATCAGTAGCGGTTTATCATTGCTGTAAGTTTTGTTTTCGTTTGGTTTGACAGATAATTATTTCGAAAAAACGCAGTAATGGTCAGATGGGCTATTTGTTTTATACATTGTTTTGAATTACAATTGAATCATCAAGAACAAGATCTGGGCAATTTATCGTTATATGTTGGTTTGTTGACATAATTGGTCAGCCCAAACTCAGAAAGAAAGTTTGTCATTCAATGGAATTGTTGCAGTTTTGTCTTGGTTAATTGGTACGTTCAAATTGCCCGTGATACAACATTTGAAGTTCTCACGAACCTGCAAAATAAAATCGCTAAACTCAATAAAACTACTACCGATATTTTTGGATATCTTTATAAAATAATCAAAGCAATTTTTTTTAGCAATCGTGAGATTACCAGGCAGCAGTGGTTTTACACTCTTATATCGTCGCTGATATGGTATTGCGATAAAAAATGCTTGTTCCTCCACCTCTTGTCGGTCTATTTGACCCAATAAAAAGATGATTATGAAAGCTAATTAATGCAGAGCTATGTAGAATAGTATCGCAAACCTCGTTTCCGTTACTACAAATAGATGAAACTTGTGCATACCTGTGAAAGCATTGACATCTTTTGTTTTATTTGCAAGAGATTGAGAATTCCCAAGTCCACACTTCAGAGTGTTTTTGTTTAGTCATTTCGAATTCAAGGACTGAATTCAAGCTCGAGCTCCGTCATTGATGCAATACCGTCGTAAGATTTTATTCTCTGACCATGTTGCGGGTCATTGCACTAGTTTGCCTTTCGGTAATGGAAATATTACATGAATTGACTGCATATCAGGGCGTTTATCGGGAAGTTCTCTGCAGGCTATTGATTTTAGTCCTTTATAGTCACAGTACTCAGTAAGTTTTCTTTCGCAGACATCTTTGAACAATCGGCTGATAAAGAAGTGCCTTCTTGGTGGGTGTTTTTGAACAATATTCTGTTCATTTGTCACAGCTGTTCCCATTACAACTTTAAAAGGGTTTATCTCTATTTTCTTTCTCTTCAAACGTACATCCGAGCTTGAGCTGTTGACTCGACGTCCTCCGTTCCTGATGTTAAATACACGTCGAGGAGGAATACAAGAGGTTGATTCTTTTACGTTCTCATAAATCATATCTCCAGAAAGCATCACGTCCTTGTTATGGGCAGTTGTTGGATTTTATTATTAGCTTTACCATTAATTGTTTCTTCCAATTCACTAACGTCTTTTCCCATTTTTTTTTTTCAATTTTAGCATAATTTGTGGAAATAATTGCGGAGTACTTACTTGCGAGCACTATGGGCAACTCCAGTTAATTGATCCAATTTGAACAATTGTGATATCTATTCTGATACACTCGTGACAGACATGAATTTTGGCACACCAAGAGCAACAGACACGTTTTTCATCCGGTTTATTGCACTTTATACAAGCGCTCGTAGAGCTATCATTTTCCCTAAGGTCATCCATTGTCAATCTGTTATTCTCTAAGACTATATAGAGAAAACACGACTCGTGATTTGTTTATCTCTGGATAGAAGATAAAAAAATTCCGCCCTTAAACACCAAAATATTCAGCTGGAAAAGACGCCAGAGTAACTCGGTGTGAAGACCGCAACGATATAAAAATCCGTATTGAATGAAAATTCTGCCGCAGAATAATATTCCGCAGCAGAAAAAATAGTTCGCAGTAGAATTCGTGAAATCTAAAATTTTTCCCGGGAAATGGATAAATGAGGCTACCCAGTCGTGAAACAAATCCGGGCTCTATCATCAAATATATCTCATACGAACTCTTTTGAAATGTCGAATAGACCTAAGTTCTAGTTTTTGGTCAGATCCTTTAACTTACCACGCAGAAAAAAGATACTAATTTGAAAAAAAAAACTTTTTAAGACTATGGTCGGAACATTCTGTGCTACTTGCACAATAACCGGCTATCCTTGTTATACGTTTGTGATGTGTTTAGAAACTATTCGGGAGTATGAGAGTGCACAGCATGATATGAGGACAGATGGTTCCATCATTGTCCGAATTGCAGAGTTCAATGAACTCTTTCGACAGCACAAGGGAACGCCCGGCTCTGGAGAAGCTGCACCCAATAGCTTCTATTCTAACCGCTTTCAAGTGATTTATTTCAAGTACCACGAATGAATGTTCTTAAGAAGTAAAAAAATAAGTAAGATGACTCGATTTCAGCTTTCGGCAAATTGCTTTAGAACTGGTTTAAAAAAAATCTGGCTTTAGACGATAATATTGAACTAAATCACTTGATGTTAGACGCCGGATGGTTTCGAACTTCGGCTTCGATTTTTCCTCAACGGAGCTGGCAAAGGAAAGGGCACTCACATAAGTGTATTTGTTCAAATGTGCAGAACAGAGTTCGATGAAATCCTCCCTTATCCTTTTCAAGGCATATGTTCTGTGCATCTATACGACCAAAACACATCGAGATCTAAGAAGGAGCACTTCACAGTGAAATTCAAAACGAATAATTCAAGTTGCTTTCAGAAGCCGCAAACTGAATTCAACCCCGAAAACGGGATCGCCCAGTTTGTGTCTCATGAGTTTCTCTTCGCGCATACTAGGTGGGTATGGTTGCGGCTCAACAGTTCAAATTCTCCTGATATTGATTCTACCAATCGCATGAAGTTTTTTCACTAAAAATAAGGTATCATCAGAACGGTGTGCTGTTTTTTTGTTTGAAATTCATAAAATTAAGGTTACTGAGTAAAAAATCTTGTAGTAAAGGTGACAATAAGTAGAAAAACTGTTACTTGCAGTTGCTACCTAGTTACCATCAACTTTTTTTTCTTTTTTTTTGCAATGTCTTGTGTTAACCACATTTAAAGTGGACGGTGACAACTCTAAACACGGTTGCCTGTCGGTTAGAACACAGTTTGAACAAATCGAGAACTGTAAAATGTCTGTTTTTGGATAGTCTCAACTGCGATCTAACGAAAATATGTTGTGCTCGCATACATAATCCAACAGATAATGCAGAAAACAAATTGAAGAGGTATATTTCCTTAGACGGTTTTGAAAGTATCCGAACACTAGCGTTTGGCAATATTTATGCTATTCGGGAAGAGTTGTTTAGTTTATTCTTGTTCATGAGGATACATAGAACTAAATTTTGTTATTTATAGTGACTCTACGGTGGGAGATAAGCCAATTTACATGCAAAATAACGTTGTCTTCATCGGGGCAGAAGTCAAGTATAGCTCAGGGATGCCACGGCTCTTTGCGTCGTCAGGAGAAAAAAATCCCGGTCCGGGGTCGAAGAAAGCAAGTGGACGCCACGACCCTAATGCGGCGTCAACTGGATCAACAGCGCAACTTTTGCCGAATGAAGGAGCCATGGAGATATAAATGTTGTGACCACTGAAGTTGGAGAAAACTTAAGATTTGATAAAAAAAAGTTTTGTTTGCCGTTCTCTCAATTTTTTGCAAAGTGTTGCTACGCCTCTAAAATATTCTTAAAATAGGGCCAATTTGAGCTAACGAACCCTCCACGAAAAATTGCCGAGAAATTTGGAATAAAATTCTTTTTCTCAAGTGTGGGCGAGAGACATTCGTCTCAACTACCACCGCATTATTACTCTCGATTACACTCGCGAGCTGGCGAGCCTAGTCTATTTGGACGAACCTTCCTTTTTCCAGTCTAATTCGCAAGTAAAAGTGTTCAATTTTTTGGCGGCACTTTTGCTATATACAAGATCTGCAGCATTGGAAATTTCATAGCATCTGTTCTCTGCTGTATTTGGGGCTAGTGTTTGCTATTTATTAAGCGTCAGTGGCTGAGTGGTTAGTGAGTGAGACTCATAATCTCTAGGTCGCAGATCGAAAGCGAGGCTTAGCCAATTTTTTTATTTATTCGAGGCGTATTTCTACTTTTTCTTATAGGGCTGCTTTTTTGTAGTGCTCTGGCTAGCGTTTGAGAAGCGCAGCTTCTTCTCTGTGTTGACTTATTAGTTTCATGAAGTAAAAGACAAAAACTAAACAAAATCATGTGTAAAAAAGCATAACTTTGGTTCTTCTACCGTCCCTCGGTCCCCCACATTCCATTTTCTGTGTTTCTAACTTTAGTCCTGTTGACATGAAGATTGGCATGTGGCTGCATTAAGCAGTTACAAACCATACAACTCATAACATTGCAAAACTGATATTCAAGGAACATAAATTAGCATGTGTGCGGGAATGGTTTAAAGAGCCAAATTGTTTGATTTCAAATACTTCCGATGCTAACTTACGAACTACCTAACTAAATTGTTTATTTTTTTGACGAATAGCAACAAAAACAGTAATTGAATTCTGTAGTTAGGTAGTGAATCAAGTATACGCAAAGTGTGCCTCCAGTTTCAACTTGAGCTGAGACAGAGCTTCAATTTTTTAAATTTTAATGTAGTGGTATTTCTTAATTTTTCATAATTGCTTATTTTATTTTCAAGTATCAAATAACAAAATTTAGCTTGAGTTTGATAGTTATCCATATTGTGTATGTGATCTTTGCTTTTTTATTTTTTTACTGTTTAATTTTTGTTCCGATCACCCTATGGTGTGTTTAGGTACGCTTAAAAAAGATTTTCGAAAATCTAGAAAATTCGTTTTGAAGTTTTTATTTTATGGTTTTGAAATTGATCCGATTTCATTGTCGTATATTTTATGGGAAAAAAACCGAAATGTTTTTCGATTGTCACAACAATAGAGACAAAAAATTGGAACATTCTGGTCGGAACATAGCTTGATACTTTCGTATTTGTGATGTTTATGGGGGTTTAGGAACTTAGAGGACAGGAAATAAGACGATCAGAAATCAACGGAATTTAGACAAAACATGCGTCTAAATTGCGTGAATTTTGTTTACAGACTTAAATTAACTTTTGGCTTAGTTAATACTGGTTGTCCATAACTTCCTTTATGGTCGTCTAATTTGCTTGTCGTCTAATTTCCTAGGCCCCGATGTTTATATTTGATTTGTTTATCTTTTAGGTATGTCTGAGCTTTAATTAACTTTTCAATTCACGATTTTTTTGAGCGTTGAATGTAAACGAATTACGATTTTGTAAGATTTTCCTTTTTTCCGCGAAAAGAATTGGCTTGTGTTGTATCGGCTGAGCTGCCTCATATTGCCTACGAGAATTTTCTCAACTGAAAGGGCTGCTATAAAATGACATTACACCTTTTGTACGTTTTTGGCGGAAACTGGATTTGCATGAAAAAACTCCTGAATCCTAAGTACCTTCCGTCTCTCAATGATCGAAACAGAAAATTCTTCCTGCGAGCTTCAAGCTGTCACACGCAAAAATGTCACCAGGACAACCAGCCTCAGTCCTTTCATGTTGCCAAATCCTGATTCTTTATTATCGCGTTTTAAAATTAATATCCTCCCTCTGTAGCGTTTTAAAATTCATTCATTTCAAAAATCAATCAAAACTCATAGCTCTGGCAAAGTTATGTTTAATCTACTTTCAACTCTGAGTGAGTTTTGGAATCTGAATGACTCTTCGTTTTGTTGAGGCGCATCTAGTGAAACCGTATTTATACTTGCAGCGGCTCCAGTTCTTTCATTCGGATCGCTTGCAGTGCTCGGCAAAGGGCTGATCGTTCGTACAACTCCGAATAAATCTTCGTATTTCGGAGGAGGACTCAATAAGCTGAATCGGGAACTAGCCGAAACGTCGAGTCCGGTTGATGTCGGGATTTGAATTGGAGACAGAAATCCGGGAGGACTGTTAGCGGGTGATACTCTTGAGTCGCGATTGAGTCTGCCACCGGGCTGATTGGGAGAAATTGGAGATGAGGTGAAACTGCAGGCTGAGTAGCGAGGAAGAGTGGGCTCGATTACGAAGATACCGGCCGCCGTCATCATGTTAAGACCTCAAACAAGGACAGACATCTGATCTCGAAGTAAAACAGAATGTTCGGAACGCCATGATTTAAGTGAAGAAATATCGATTTTATAATTCCTTGTTGATTTTTTTTGTATAAAGGCGGCTAGATTAGGTTTTTATCAATTTTATAATTCCTTGTAGATTTTTTTTGTATAAAGGCGGCTAAAATAGCGTAAAGCTTGCAGTAGAAACGAGTTTAGTGTCATCAGTTTTCGCGAATTTTGTTTTCGGAATCTAAATCACGGCAGAAAGTTCTCAAAATGTTTCAAAATGAGACCGGTTTTTACGCCGCCTGCCAGCTCTCTCTATCAGTATGAATCCGTTTTTTATGATGAACTATCATCAATTTTTCTATTACATTGCTCGAAAAAGAAACATGTAACAATTAGTCCAGACAAAAGCACTCACCTGTACTTGAATCATTAGTCACCAGTGACCCTCTTATGATGACCCCATGTCTGTTCACATTGTCTTCGGGTGCACTTTGTTCATCACCATCTCTTATTGCCCTGCTTTGAATGAACTCTTTTAGAAACCGAAGGAAGAGCGAAACAAATACTATGAGTCCGAAAATGACGAGGAGCAGAATGACAATGACTGCGTTGGTCGAAATGCCCATTCTAAACATGTATATAAACTGCCATTAAAAGCTTAGCTAATGTGAAAAGATGTCACCACCTATAAACTAAATGAACTACTTGAAATAGAAGTGTTGTTTTACTCTTATTGTAGAAATGAAATTTTAAATCATTGTAGAAACTGCAAAAAATTACTGAATCCTTTTTCTAGCTTAGACAGAGAGGCACTAAAACTTACATTATCTTGAGCTGAAATCGTTCAGGAGTATAATGACATAATGTTGATGAGTGACAATTAATGCCAAAGTTGGAATACTTTCAAAGACCTCAAAGATTGAAAAGAGTTTTTTATTTGCGTTTTGTTTTTAAATTTCCTTAATTAATTTTGCAATTTATGGCCTTGTTCATGAAAAGTTCTGGTCTGCCGAGAAGATCCACTCTGATTGCGCTTGCGATAAGATTTTTTACCCTAAACAACTAATAAATATCTGTAACTAATTGAACTTGCTTTTTATTGAACTTTAACAACTTACAGTCTCCTTAATTTGCCTAGAGGAAACGAGCTTGCCTTTGCGCCGAGTCAGAAATTTTTTTCAGGTATGACAACATTTTCAAGGATATTTTGTTTCCACCCCAATGGGCGTCTACCCACGTTTATCGGCTTGACTTGCTCAGTAAAAATACAGCTTATTAAATGATGACAGTTGTGCTTCTCAGCATTTTTGTTTGAAGGTGATTTTTACTCTTGCGATAAGCAAGGGTATTGCAATCGGGTTCTAGACTCTTTTTTTCCCGTAAACAACTTTGTCCACAGGACTGCTCTGGACTCGTGGTACCTTGGTTCATAATGATTGCAAGTTTCTTAGTGTCTCCTGTCACATCTAAGAAACATCTTTCTTTGCGGTAAAGATTTTTCATTGTAATTGCTCTGAGTGATTTAACATTTTATTAGCGTAGATCTTTTTGAATTTTTTTCGCATGAAAATTTTCTGCTCAGGTTTTTTCGATTTTGTTACCACAGGGTAATTATAAACCCAAATTCAACCAACCATCTGGCGTAGAGGTGCCACAACTGCTTGAGACCGCTTTTTCTATTAACAATTTTTTATTGACAAAAACCGTATTTTTTTTTTTTCCAAATTTTTCCGTTTGATTTTAATCAAATTTGTATCGCAATTGGTGCGAAGCTCAGCTTCGCTTCTGTATAACTTTCTTCAAAAGTATTGCCATCCATTTTTTTGACGGAGTTGTTTCCGTTTCATTTTGCGTCCACTAGTTTGCAAAGCTACGCTTGCGATGTCTCGCAACTGATGCGAAGATCCGCTTGACTTTTGTCTTAAAAAAATTTGTTGATTTTTTTTATAATTTAGTTTAGTATATACAAATTTCTTGGCTTCTCCGGTATTTTCCCTTTTTTATTCATACTGAAAGTTTTTCGAATAAAAAAACTAGCAAGACCGTTTCCAACAACCCATCGGCTCGCAAAAAGTAAGTTTTTGTTCTGATCAAGCTGTTAAAAGAAACAATTTTTCGAAAAAAGTTTCAAATTACGAAGGGTCAGGAATCGGTTTCAAAAGAATTAAATTGTAAAGATCGAATCGCTTCGCGAAGTTTTAATCGTTTTCCTAAACAATATATTCAAGCTGTGAAACTTGATATATTTCAAGCTACATCATGAACCCAATCGCATGGAAAATACTTGTTGGAACATTCTGGTCGGAACATAGCTTGATACTTTCGTATTTGTGATGTTTATGGGGGTTTAGGAACTTAGAGGACAGGAAATAAGACGATCAGAAATCAACGGAATTTAGACAAAACATGCGTCTAAATTGCGTGAATTTTGTTTACAGACTTAAATTAACTTTTGGCTTAGTTAATACTGGTTGTCCATAACTTCCTTTATGGTCGTCTAATTTGCTTGTCGTCTAATTTCCTAGGCCCCGATGTTTATATTTGATTTGTTTATCTTTTAGGTATGTCTGAGCTTTAATTAACTTTTCAATTCACGATTTTTTTGAGCGTTGAATGTAAACGAATTACGATTTTGTAAGATTTTCCTTTTTTCCGCGAAAAGAATTGGCTTGTGTTGTATCGGCTGAGCTGCCTCATATTGCCTACGAGAATTTTCTCAACTGAAAGGGCTGCTATAAAATGACATTACACCTTTTGTACGTTTTTGGCGGAAACTGGATTTGCATGAAAAAACTCCTGAATCCTAAGTACCTTCCGTCTCTCAATGATCGAAACAGAAAATTCTTCCTGCGAGCTTCAAGCTGTCACACGCAAAAATGTCACCAGGACAACCAGCCTCAGTCCTTTCATGTTGCCAAATCCTGATTCTTTATTATCGCGTTTTAAAATTAATATCCTCCCTCTGTAGCGTTTTAAAATTCATTCATTTCAAAAATCAATCAAAACTCATAGCTCTGGCAAAGTTATGTTTAATCTACTTTCAACTCTGAGTGAGTTTTGGAATCTGAATGACTCTTCGTTTTGTTGAGGCGCATCTAGTGAAACCGTATTTATACTTGCAGCGGCTCCAGTTCTTTCATTCGGATCGCTTGCAGTGCTCGGCAAAGGGCTGATCGTTCGTACAACTCCGAATAAATCTTCGTATTTCGGAGGAGGACTCAATAAGCTGAATCGGGAACTAGCCGAAACGTCGAGTCCGGTTGATGTCGGGATTTGAATTGGAGACAGAAATCCGGGAGGACTGTTAGCGGGTGATACTCTTGAGTCGCGATTGAGTCTGCCACCGGGCTGATTGGGAGAAATTGGAGATGAGGTGAAACTGCAGGCTGAGTAGCGAGGAAGAGTGGGCTCGATTACGAAGATACCGGCCGCCGTCATCATGTTAAGACCTCAAACAAGGACAGACATCTGATCTCGAAGTAAAACAGAATGTTCGGAACGCCATGATTTAAGTGAAGAAATATCGATTTTATAATTCCTTGTTGATTTTTTTTGTATAAAGGCGGCTAGATTAGGTTTTTATCAATTTTATAATTCCTTGTAGATTTTTTTTGTATAAAGGCGGCTAAAATAGCGTAAAGCTTGCAGTAGAAACGAGTTTAGTGTCATCAGTTTTCGCGAATTTTGTTTTCGGAAT